AGTTATAGGTTTTAGTCTCACTCAGTTGGTTGATGCTGCCAATGTTCTGCTCAGGATGGGGGACTGTGATGAAGTGAGAATTCAACTCAATCTGCTAGCTTCCTTACATTAGCTGTGTTTCCATTGTAAATGTGTGCCAAACTTTGTCGATATTTTGTCAATGTCCAAAAAACACATTTTCGCCATTCCGGTGTTTCCATTAAGTAAGAAATGCTATTAAAGTCAGGTGTGAATACATTTGTTCTTGTGATAAGTCATTTCAAACATGGCCACAATGGATGTAAACACAAGCATAATTGCTACCATGACACTAGCGCTCATCATCAGAGGAGACGTCGGTGTCTTATCGAGGCTTTCGAGCGACAACCCCCTTATACTTGGGAGCGGCTACGTATGTGGCATTTTTTGGAAATTGTAGTCGGTGAGTTTACTATTTTCTTTTACAACTTTGTTGCTTTTACTACTACTTCTACTTCCTGTTGCCTTCTTTGTCGTCGTAGTCTTTTTCGCCAGTAGAAACAGCCGGTTGTTGATCACGTGATTCCCCTGATGCGAAAAAAGTGTTTCCATTGCAGTTTTGTGAAACACAGCAATTTCGATAAGGCTGAAAAACCACCTCATCCTAGCGCAAAAACATTTTGTCGAAAAAATGAAGTTTTTTCTAAATTGACGTGTTTCCATTGAGCAAACTTATTTTCAAAATTCTAATTTGAGCATTTACATGGACAATGGAAATGCAGCTATTGACAACTTGCACTAATTGACTTGTACGTAAATGTTTTGTACAGAGACCTGAAACAGCAATTGCTGTGACTTGTGGCTATATAAATAAACTGAATTAAATTAGAGGCAGTTATTTGACCGATTCATCCACCACAACAGAAATTTTGTTGCTTTTTCTACCAGAAAGCCCTGAGGGGAAGCCTCTGCCAGTGTTGGACCATATCACATTCTGCAGCCTTCAGCTGAGCCGATCACTTATTACACATGACTGCAGGACCGCTGATGAGGAGGGAGAAACACTGAACTGCTCTTCGAAAGAGGAAAATAGCTGTAAAGGCTCAGCTTATCAAACGGCCAACAAACTGCTCCTACAGTAATCAGAACTATTCAGTCTGCAAAACCAGAGTACTTGGAGAAAACTCATACAAGCTCACAGAGAACATGTGAACGTCACACAAAAGACTGCAGCCAAGTTTTTAATCTGTAACCTTCTGGCTGAGAGGCAACACTGCTGACCAATTATTCTACTGTGTGTGTGTGTGTGAGTGTGTGTGTGTGTGTGTGTGTGTGTGTGTGTGTGTGTGTGTGTGTGTGTGTGTGTACCAGCTCTGATATGACTGAAGCTGTTTAGTCAATATAAAGGCAGAAATGTTGGTAACCAACCTGACTGATAGTGCTCATGGCTCTCATGTAGCTTTCATTCCGTGAACGGTACTGGGGTGAGGACAGCAATGATTTGGGGTCCAGGAGGGTTTTGGGGTCCAGGGTGTCCAGGCTTCTGTTTATTGAAACTTCACTGACTGCACGGAGGTAACTGTGGCTCCTAATCTGCAGCTTGGGAGAGTGCTCTGTTGAAATCCTGATCCAGAGACAACAGGAACACTGAGTTATTCACCAATCACATTCCTGCATATACAGTTGAATTCAGAAGTTTACACACACTTTATGTAAAGACAAGCATTGTTTTTCCCACTGAAATCAGAAAAAAAAACGTTCCTCTTTTAGGTCAGTTACGGTTACCAACGATTTTGCTATTTGCTAAATGCCAGAATAATGAGAGATAATTTTCTTATGGCAATTTTTAGTACTTTCTTAAAAGTCAAAAGTTTAAATACACTTCATTAGTATTTGATACCATTGACTTTAAACTGTCTGACTTCGGTCAAATGTTTTGGATCTCCTTCGACCAGCTTCTCACAATAGTTGGCAGGAAGTTTGTCCCATTCCTGCTGACAGGACTGGTGGAGCTGAGCCATGTTTGTAGGCTGCCTTCACATGCCTTTTCAGCTTTGACCATAAATTGTCTATAGGATTAAGATTAGTGCTTTGTGACAGTCACTCTAAAACATTGACTTTGTTATCCTTGGGCCACTTTGTAACCAGTTTGGCAGTATGCTTCAGGATGGTGTTCTCAGTTCCAAGCTTCCCCCTTTTTCGTCCAAACGTAACGATGGTCATTACGGCAAAACAGTTCAACTTTAATTAGGTCACACCACAGGACCTCTACCAAAATAAAGGTTTTTGTCCCTGTGTGCATTTGCAAACATTAATCTGTTTTGTGTTTTATTTCATGTTTCTTTTTTAAGTAATGTTTTCTTCCTGGCAGAGTGGCCTTTCAGCCCATGTGGATACAGACATGTCATCAGAAAAGGATTAAGATTTGTCTGCTGTCATTTCTTAATGAGCAGGTGAGGCTGTAGGGTTTTAACAGCAGAACTAAACTCTATAAACAAAAGACGAGTGGGTGTTTCAATAATAATTGTTATTTTTTCAAATGGTCCAAATCTGCCTTCCTTCTTTTCTTTATTTTCCAGCTGATTAAACCATTAAGCATGGTGGTGATTACAAAGGTGGGCTCAAAGGAGGTGAGGAGGGTACAATGTGGGTAGAGGTGGGCAACAAAATAATGTGCAGGACTAAAATGATAGTTTTTCATGCCGTGCAGATGAGCAAAGCTCTATTTTAAAACCTGGCTGTACAAATCCTAATTTGAAGTGTTTGTTTGCAAAATGTGATTATTGTTTTGGAGGAACATATTTCATACCAACAGATTTACTGTTTGTTCAAAGCAACAATCCTCCTCTCTGCTCAAAAATTTCTAATCTGCCTCTGTTCCAACTTTTATCCTCATGTGTCACAGCATACTATAAATTTGAACCAATCAGCAGAGCAGGTTGAGACTTTCTGTTTTCAACCTGTGGATAATGTACTTTATACATACTTGACCTTGAGTGCTGCCAGGTTTAGGAGAAATGATGGTACATTAAGTGTACAAGTCCACTTCTCTAATCCTCAGTCAGTTTGACAAAAATTCTCATCTTTAAGTCTGTGAACAAAACATCTTGGGAACAAAAAAAGATACAAACAACCTTCAGAATGATGGAGAGTGGTTAATATTTGAGTTCAGTTTTTAAAGTTTGGAACCTTGCAGTTTGATTTGAGAAATCTTCTTAAACAAGAAGCAAAATGAGTTTAACAAACAAGAAAAGAAGTCCAGTTTCTTTAATACTTGTAATGTTTCATCTTTAACAGCAGCAGCAGAAGAAGCGGAAAAGAGCAGAGATGTTAAAACAGCAGCTTTAGATGAAGTGAGATCTTACTGCAGTGTGGTCATCTCAGTCAGCGATGGCTGTGTGGCTTTCAGGTAGCTGGCTCTCCGAGCCTGGACTTTGGGTGAGGGTTTGGGACTCCCCTCTGAGTCCCCACTGTCGTCTTCAGCCATGGCTTTGACGTAGCTGCCACTTCTCATCCTCCGACAGGGGATGTCATCCTCCTTTCCCAGAGGAGAGAAACCACTCCACTCATCCTGAGGTACCTGATGGTTAGAGTGAGAGAAGAGATGATCCACCTCAATTTTCTCTGACATCCAGCCATTAAACCAACAAACTATCCAACCAATCATCCGACCAACCAAACAACCAACCAATCAATTCAAGCCATCCAACCAGCAAACTGAACTGTTGACGGAGGAGCAGGAAACACAGGCAGCATGCTGGTCAGCGACAAACACATGCAATGAAAGAGCAAAGAGATGACATGGTTTCATTTTTCCTTAAAGCAGCCATTCATCTATGCATCTATCCATCCAACCAACCATTCATCTATACATCTATACATCCATCCATCCATTCATCTATACATCTATCCATCCATCCATCCATCCAACCATCCATTCATCTATATAGCTATCCACCTATCCATCCAACCAAACATTCATCTATCCATCCAACCAACCATTCATCTATCCATCCAGCCAACCAACCAACCAACCAACCAACCAACCAACCAACCAACCAACCAACCAACCAA